TAGGAAAGGCATAAAAGGCTCTCATTATTGACAAACAGTAAGCAGAGAAGGGAGGGGTGGGGGAGGGGTAGGGGAGGGGGTGTTCACATGGTTATGAACATAATATATGAAATATTTGTTGTTCCATAATATTAATAATGATTATTTAATGAATAATTAGAATATGAAATTGATCATGCACATTGTACTCCACAAAATCTATTTTAATCTTAAAGATCTTTAAAAATCTTAAAGTTCAAAAATTTAACATATAATTTAATGGCTTGTGTTATAATAATTTTATCACAAAATAATGATTTTAAAATAAGTTTAAAATTCAATATTGTAGTTATAAAATAATTGCCTAGCTACTTTGTGTAATGCTCTAGCACATTTAGCGCAACATATTGTACAGTACATGAAAGTGAATACAGTATTCTTGCGATAGATTTGTATAAGAATCTCAAAATTGTAGTGCTCTCAATTGATTTGATCATGCTTATTTGACATATATTTAAATATTGTCAAAATGGATCATGTTTCATTTATGATACATGTATAGAAAATTATATAAAAATGTAAATGTAATCCAATATTTATATGAATGGCGTAACAAAAGTGTGTAAATTCTAGACATTGGTTGTATTGTTGTATTGATTGCATCGGTTGTAGTGTTGGCTATAATGAGGAAATGCTTTACTTTGACTGTTGAACGCTTGAAAGCAGACTCCAATCCAACACTGCGTTCACCTCTACTTCACTCAACACTCGTCAGCGATGTCTACACCAATTGATTGCATTTGAACTTTGCATCCAAATGAGTGTTTTGGTCACAATTGTGGTCACAAATGGTTATGTAATGAATGACTCAATTGTGAACTCAGTTTCAATCACTAATTAGTGACCATTAGTTGGCTTTGGGTTTGCATTCACTCGTCATATCATTATATGATTACATATTATATAACATCTAATAATAAGCAATGGTTTTAAGCAAACAGTTGCGAGTTTACCACAAATTAGACAACAATAGTGTTTACAGTGTTTTGTTGGACAACAAGAACTACAAACACGAGTCACTACTACTGGAAGCGGACGCCATCGCCACTCTCGGTAACTATCACTCCAACACTTCCACCACAACCACAGCCGCTCTCGTTGTGGATGTGCTTATATATGACATGCAATTGTATTGAATGGTCTAATCATGCGATTGTCGGACAACAGGTCCCTCCGAAGCTGATTCTGTGCGTCACTTGTATTCAACCGTTTTGGACGCTTACGGGTGTCTCGGAGTTCTTCAGCTATCAGTGGGTGAGTGTGTATTGGAATGGATGGCAATGGATGTGTGCAGTGATGGGCAATGGGTTGTGAGGGGAGCGGAAGCGCTGCCTATTTTGCGATCACAACTGCTGTCACTGTCAGACATCTGTTGCCAAAAGTGGTGCAAAGCGTGTATTACATGTGTAGACGAGTCCGATCTCCCCATCCATAGCCCCTCCACAGGCCCTCTATTGCCCCCACACTCACAGCCCTCTCAATGCTCTCATTCCTCTCCCCTTTTCCTGTGTTTTCATTCACTTTACACTTCCTTTAAATGTTTGAATCAATTC